GGATGCGGTTGACCGCGTGCTGCACAAGACCTTCCATGATCTTGGTGGGAAGCTGGTTGAGGTGAAGCGCGCATTGCCCCGTGAGGCGAACCCTGGTGGCTCTGGTAGTGGGCGTTCTGGGGGAAGTGGGGGCTATCAGAGCAACAATGGCCATAACGCCAGCTCTGGTGGCTATGATGGTAGAAGTGATGGTGGCAGGTACGGGCAGGCACAGCAGGGTAGTGGTGGCTATCCTGGCTACGGTGCAGGAGGCTATGGCGCCGGGGCAGCTGGATATGGATATGGTGCTAACCCTGCAGTTGGATATGGAAATTATGGGGCTGGAGGATATGGAGGTGTTCCTGCTGCTTATGGTGGACATTATGGAAACCCAGGTGCAGCTGGTTCTGGTTACCAAGGTGGACCTCCAGGCTCAAATAGAGGACCTTGGGGCAGTCAAGCTCCATCTGCATATGGAACTGGAGGGTACGGTGGCAGTGCTGGTTATAGTGCTTGGAACAACTCTTCTGGTGGTGGCAATGCTCCCAGTAGTCAAGCACCTGGTGGACCTGCAGGCTATGGAAGCCAGGGCTATGGGTATGGTGGATATGGAGGGGATCCATCGTATGCTAGTCATGGAGGATATGGGGCCTATGGAGCACGTGGTGATGGTGCTGGCAATCCTGCTACTGGTGGAGCATCTGGATACAGTGCAGGCTATGGAAGTGGGGGTGCCAACTCTGGCTATTCAAGTGCTTGGAGTGATCCTTCACAAGGTGGTGGATTTGGCGGTTCAGTCAATGGAGGTGCTGAAGGGCAATCAAATTATGGCACTGGCTATGGCAGTGTGCAGCCAAGGGTTGCTCAGTAAAGAGAGGCATTTTGAGTGTCTGAAATGAACCAGCGCATCTGGGCAGTCTATGTATTGATTTGTCATTCCAGTCTCTCTGATTGCTCTCAGCATTCTGAAGACTGCCCATTTGCTGGTTAAATCGGTATTTCTCCGGGTTGGAATGCTTGATCCTTTAGTGGCTTACTACTAGAACTTCTAGTCAATAAGTAGCTATAATGTGGAGTAGCAGTATCTTGCAGAATGCTTTTATTAATTTTTACATTTAGCTTTATCCATCTGTGTGCTTTGCCATGAGTGGAGTTTCAGGTTGCTTCATCTCTAGTTATAAGCTAGAGTAGCTTGACTGCTTATGGACAAAATTATCTAGTTGTACCTCTATTCTACAGATCATATATTTGTGTTTGACGGTAGTATTTATGCTGGATCTTGCTCTACCTATATTCTGTAATGTTCTATATTTGGTGGTTGTATTGACATGTGGAATCAACAATTGAACATTGATGGTTTGAAACAGATGCAAACCCTGTAATACGCAGTCATAGTTGCTTGATGCTGTAGCTGCTTCTAACAGTATGTTCAACTGTAGTGCAAGTGTTTTTATGTAGCTGGAATGGTACATTCTTCAAGTATATCATCAAGCTATGAATTCCATCCATTTGGCCCTAGATTTCGATATTTTCCAAGCAGCAGTAAGCTTATTAGCAGCAAAGATTGTAGCGCCAAGTTTCTGAGGTAGTATAGATAACTGGGTTATCTGTGAAGCTACTTGAATGTTTAGGTGTAGAATTGTATTGTAGAACAGTCAAGGTTCGGCAAGTAAAGTAATTGTCCTTCCTCCTACCTTCCTCTATGTACAGGTTGAATGGGATGACATTCCTTTTTAGAGATGCCCAAGCAAGGTCTATGAAATCAGGCATCTGAAAAAGGCATGTGACACAGCGATTTACATGATGAGCTGGTGAAAAGTTTCAATATCGGGGTGCTGACAGAATGCAAGATACCAGCTTAAGTGCTTCATTTTCTGAAGGGTCTTGTGCTGTGCTACAAGATAGTGGGTATGTGGAATCAAAGATTCTATATTCACGTTTTGTCTGGCAAAATCTTTTTGACTCTGGTACCTGTCGAAGCGAAACTCTAGACGATTCTTAGCTTTGTTCATTCAGATTTACTGTGTACCATATCCATTAGGGAAATTGACGGTAAACGTGTCAGTTTTAACTATTGAGCAATAATATTGCGCTAGACATTTAGATTGACTACACAAACAATGTATTTATCATGAAAAGTATTATATTTGTTTACCTTATCACTATTTATTTAGGTGAAATTATTGATTTTTTTTAAGTAAAGAAACTTGCTGGATGAGGTAGTATGATTAGGAGGGTTAGTTTTGCTTGTTTATTTCTTATAAGGCTGTGTTTGGTTCGCCTTCTGGAAAGTGCTTCTGTTACAAAAAAAAAAAGCTGCTTTTCTGGAAGCAGCTACTTTCGCGTAGTATAATTTTTGCAGTACCTTAGAACCTGCTTTTGGCTTTCAGCTCTCTGCTTTTCCAAATGGGTGGAAATAGAGATGTTTTACAACTGTTTCAAGGGAGGTAAAGAGAGGGGCTAGGTTTCATAGTTGTTTTACCAAACAGACCCTTATAGCTGCTTATAATCAAGGCATACACAGATGGGCGCAACATCATAATTAATTTCCCTTTGCTCTGTTTACTATGTTGATGACCAGTTGACCTCTGATAAGTTTTTATGAAGTGCATACTTTTTTTTTGGTAATGATGCCTTTTATCACTTACCTTGTGGCTAATGGTATATTATAATAAAAAATATGGTTATATCCCTTGACATGGAATCTTTTTCACATAAGTTGCTGATGTTCTCCCCTTGAGAATAATGTCAGATGAGCATTGTAATTGTTGAAACAGCTTATTCTATGTACTATAGAGGCCTGGGTTAATTTGCATGAGCACTTGTCTCAAAACACCTAGATCTAGTGCGATGTTAGATCATGTTGTAGAGATGATGCAGATTGATAACTTCAAATATGATGAATTGCTACAATCTGAATCGATGTATTTTCGATCCCAATGTGTTTTTTATGTTTCTGATACCAGAATGCATCATGTAACTCTTTTCCATAGTACTATGTCCATGCCAAAAATTGTGACATTCTAGGATTTTCCAGACGGATTAGTATAGAGGGGAAATGATCTTGGTATCCCTATTTATTAGATGTGTTTCCCCTAAAACTTGACATTCAAGGATACATTGGTTGGATTCTTTCAGCATGTCTAGCACAGGTTCGTGAATTTTCGAGTCTTCTCTTGGAAATAGGTATATATATGAAGGTTCTTGTCATCATTAATAAGTTGAAGATTAGTTATCCTATTGTTTTTTTTCCCTTCAAGTTTTGCTAAGTTAAACTAAGGATCTTGAAACAAATGTGTAGCTTTATGTGCATGTGGTACCTTTCTTGGTATGATCTAATTCGGATTTGTGGTTAGAAGTTAAAGTTAAATTTGAGTTTTAGGTGCAAGCTTACACTCGCTTCCCAAAGAGCATGTTTTAAGGGCAAACTTTTGTCAACAGACGAAGTGCAACATTTTGGCTGGAGCCACTGTGGCTGGGTCTGGGGGAGCATGGGCAAGGTCTCGGCTGTGTGGCGCAAGGGCGGCTTGTCTGCATACTGGTGATTGTGGATGCTTGTGATATAGCAATGCCCCAATGTATAGGTGAACTTTTAGTGCTAGAGGCATCCTTTTGTTGCCATGATGTCTATGCCCTATAAGTAGTTGCATAACACATAGTATACTCAATATAGTTCTACCCCTTGGTATGGAAGCCATTGGTGCTTTTCTTTTTGTTTAGCATGAATGCCATATAATTGTACATTGAGTTGACTATTCAGTTATTGCTAAACCACACTCCAGTGAATTCTGTAAATGAAAAGAAATGAAATGCATGTATATAACTCCCTCGCTCACTATGCCATGATTGGAGAGTTCTGGTATCTCTGATTTGATTCAATTTCATGTAAAATAAATACTGAATGGATTGTTTGACTTGTTTCTTATAGTGAGCAGCTTCCCATCTCTGGTGACCTCCAGCTTCACCGGTGCCTCTGGTGTTGGAGCGAAGGGGAACTGGGATCTGGTGGCTGGTGTATATCATCTTCCTATCATCCTACATCTAGGTTGGTTTGATTAGTTTCTAACTCGATCTGTTGTAGATGGGGGCTTTTGGCTTGCAACCGATACTCTCCGAAGATTGCGCTGGTGCTGCTGCTCCGTATGGTGAGCATTTTACTTATGACTCGAAACTGAACCGGCGCTGATGAAGCGGTCTTTTTCCTTTTTCTTTTTGAAAAAAAAAATTGTGAACCGGTCTCTGTGACGGGTTCGTGGGAAGAACTGGTTTACCTCGCTGCGGAGCTGTCCCCGTTGAGCTTTCGGGCCATTCGTTTCTTTGCCAACAGATGCATAGAAATTTTGATATTTAACCCTGTATTCGCGCGCTCCACAATACTTAACCATCAATTCGTAGTCCTTTTGAAATATAACCCCCTGTATGCGAATTGTTTTGATATATGGGCTCACGATGGATTGATCTCATTTTCTAATTCTAAATGCATCTGTTCACTATTTAGGACACGCGAATAGACGTTACTGCCCCTCCCTCTAATCAGAAGTCCCGCTCTGCCGCTTGCATCCCCTCTCTCCGTATCGCGACTTGGGCGAGTCGTAGAGGCCGCGATTGCCCTGCCGCCCATCTGCTCGAGCTTCGCTGGCCAGCACCAGCCACCGGCCAGCGCGCTTGCCGCCGTCTAGCGCCTGCCACCGGCTGCACCTCCTCCCGATCCTTGCCCGGCTCCTTTTGATCCTCGCCCTAGCCGGCCCGTAACGGGGAGAGAGAGAGAGAGGAAATCACAAGGCAGCGAGGCCTAGGAAGTCGACCCCGGCCCCCTCCCCGGCACGTCCCCAGATTCGGCGCCGGAGCCCGGTGGGCGTGCGCGGCTCCGCGGTGAGCAGCTACGCTAGCTCCGGGAGCTCTTCCTCCGCTTCGACCTCGATGGCGACGGGAACCTCACCAAGCTGGAGCTGGCGGCGCTGCTCCGCTCCCTGGGCCTCTGCCCCGCCGCCGGGGACGAGATCCACGCGCTCATCGCCGCCATGGATGCCGACGGCAACGACACCGTCGAGTTCGACGAGCTCGCCTCCTCCCTCGCGCCGCTGCTCCTGGGGCCCTGCCGCCCTGCCGTAGCCGTCGACCACGCGCAGCTCGCCGAGGCCTTCGACCGTGACGGCAACGGGTTCATCTCCGCCGCTGAGCTCGCGCGCTCCATGGCTTTCATGGGCCACCCCATCTGCTATGCCGAGCTTACCGACATGATGAAAGAGGTGTCATAAGCTTCCGGGAGTTCACCACCATCATGGCCAAGTCTGGCGTCGGCTTCCTAGGCCTCGCTGCCTTGTGACTTCTAATCAGATAGAGGGGTAGTAACGTCTTTTCGCGTGTCCTAAACAGTGAACAGATGCATTTAGAATTAGAAAATGAGATGAATCCTTCGTGAGCCCAAATATCAAAACAATTCGCGTGTGCAGGGTTATATTTCAAAAGGCCTACGAATTGGGGGTTAAATGTTGAGAGACGCGTGAATACACGGTTAAATATCAAATTTTCTCACAGATGCAGAAGTTGTTTATGTCTCGTCACCATTGGTTGAGCTGAGGCCTGAGGGTGATGGTGCTAGAGATGTATTTCCTCTATTGAATCGGCTGGGAATGCCAGACTGGGTTCGAGGCGCAGGTTCTTGCGGCATTCAAGTCTGTTTGGAACGAAGTAATTGAAAACATAGGAATGAGAGAAAATAAATGAATAGAAAATGAATGTAGTGATAAAATAGAGGAATGAAAAAACAAAAGAATTTTATAAGAGTGGGTGTTTGAAATGGAAGAATGAGATAGTAGAAGAATCTCATTTTGTTTAGACTAATGATGTGCATGTTTTTGCTAAACTTGGTAGTTTGAGATTAGCTTGGGTAGGTCATTAATTCAACAACGGAGCACTGAAGCGTAGATAATTGATCGAAGTTCTGGAGTTGGTGGATGACAAGAGCACAAATGATGTGTATAAATAAAAAAAATGTTTCCTTGACTCTTGCCTCTTTTCTCACCGATGCTCATAGAAGTTCGTGTTGGCTAGTTCGGACAACAACGCATCATGTCATAGGAAGAATTCCTTTAGCTTAAGGATGTTTCCTTTTCCTTCAAAATGCATGGATGAGGAGACTTTCCACAGGAAAGGATATGCTCAATCCTATGCTCCAAACAAATGAACAGTACATAAAATGGAGGAATCTTAATTCCTATATTTTCCTTTAGGAATTCTATGATCCAAACGGGCCGAGTCAGGCCCTCGAAGGATTTGGTAGGTCGGTAGCAGATGCTTGTTCAATAAATTCGATGCGCCATTTGGCTAGAAAAAGCAGGAGTGAAGCTATTTTTTTTTTATGTATTTGGAGGTGCTGATCTGGAAGAATGTTTTGGAGGTGCGGGTCTCTTAATATAAAAACGTGCAAATCTCTTGCGTGATCGAGAAAAAAAAGAAAGTAGCAGCTATCGCAGATTTATACCGTGACTTTCTCTTTTTTGCTTCCTCTTCTTTTTTTCCTGGTGCAAAGCACGCAGCAGGATGAAAAATGAAATTCTGGCAGAGTGGTTACCCTGCAAACGCGGCGCGAAGATAGTTGACTCAATTGGGGGCGCGGCATGCACCGGGCGTCTCTCAATTTTTTATCACTTCTCCCCCGAGTCCTCGCGCATCACCTCCCAAACTCCCGATCGCGCGCGAGCCCCGGCTGTCTCTCTCGGTGGCTGGGCCGTGCCGGGACGAGATGGGGGGTCACCAGCGCTCGCGCTCCGCCTCCGCGAGCTCCACGGCGACGCGGTCCGACATCACCGAGCTCGACTTCGCTGCGGTCGGCCTCGACTGCCCCTTCGGCCGCGTCGATGCACTCGGCCCCGTCGAGCTCCGCGAGACCGCGTACGAGATCTTCTTCATGTCCTGCCGCTCGTCCGGCCCGGCGGTATCCATCAGGGGCGGCGCGGCGGAAGGGGAGGTGTCGTCGCCCGTTGCTGCCGGCGCTGGCGCGAGGAGTGGCACCGGGGGCAGCGTCATGGGCAGCCGAGTCAAGAAGGCGCTCGGACTGAGGCCAAGGCGGCTGTCGTCGGGAGCGCAGCCGATGATGGCCCGCACGCTGAGCCAGACGTCGGGCCCGGCGTCCCCTGGCCGCATGCGGCGGCCGATGACGTCGGCGGAGATCATGCGGCAGCAGATGCGAGTCACCGACCAGAGTGACGCGCGCCTGCGCCGCACCCTCATGCGCACCGTCGTCGGTCAGGTCGGCGCCCATGGCGGCATTGATCGTTTTCGTCTACATCTTTTCCTTGACAAGTCTGGTTTGCACACAGGTGGGCAGGAGGGCGGAGACGATTGTTCTCCCGCTGGAACTCCTACGGCAGCTGAAGCCTGCAGAGTTCACTGACGCCGAGGAGTACCACCAGTGGCAGTTCCGGCAGATCAAGCTCCTGGAGGCAGGACTCATCCTGCACCCTTCCCTCCCGCTCGATCGCCTCCACGCCGCCGTGCTCCGGTTCCGCGAGGTCATGCGCGCAACCGAGATCCGCGCCATCGACACCGGCAAGAACTCTGACGTCATGCGCGCCCTCACCAACGCCGTGCACGCGCTCTCGTGGCGCTCCGGCACCGCCGGTGCCGCTGTAGAAGCTTGCCACTGGGCCGACGGGTACCCGCTCAACGTGCTCCTCTACTGCTCCCTCCTCCAGACCATCTTTGACCTGAGGGAGTGCACCGTCGTGCTCGACGAGGTCGACGAGCTCCTAGAGCTCATCAAGAAGACGTGGCCTACGCTTGGCATCAACAGGATCCTGCACAACGTGTGCTTGGCGTGGGTGTTCTTCCAGCAGTACGTGATCACAGGCCAGGTCGAGCCGGACCTCGTCGCTGCGGCGCTCACCGTGCTCGTTGACGTGGCAGCCGACACCAAGCAGGGGAGCCGTGACCCGCTGTACGTCAAGGTGCTCCTGAGCGCGCTCGGTGGGATGCAGGAGTGGTCGGAGAAGCGCCTCCTGGACTACCACGACAGCTACGAGAAGGGCATCGGTGGCGCTGCTACGGAAGGCATGGAGATCCTGCTGTCCCTGGCGCTTGCCGCCGGCAAGATCATCGCTGACCGGGAATGCGCCGGCGACGGGAACTTTGCTGGAGACCGCGTCGATTATTACGTCAGGTGTTCGATGAAGAGCGCCTTCACCAACGTAATAAAGTTGATGTTACTGTATCATGGCACACTGGTACAGAGTATTGATCTGTTCATGACCATTTTTCGCTTCCATCTGGTTGCAGATACTTGAGAACGGACTCGGCGAGGCCGACAGCGTGATCATCGACCGCGACAGCGACCCTGGGTCCGTCCTGATGCAGCTCGCCAGGGACACGGAGCAGCTGGCCATGTTCGAGCGCAGGAACTTCAGCCCGGTGCTGAGGCGGTGGCACCCCGCGCCGGTGGCGGTGGCCGCGGTCACCCTGCACGGCTGCTTCGGCGTCGTGCTGAGCAGTACCTCGCCAAGGTGAACATCCTCACCGACGAGCTCGTCCGCGTGCTCCACTCGGCAAGCAGGCTGGAGAAGGCCCTGGCGCAGATGACGGCAGAGGACGCGGCGGACTGCGACGACGGCCGCGCCAAGGCTGTCGTGGGCGACATGGAGCCCTTCGAGGTGGAGTCCGTCGTGATGGGACTGCTCAAGGCCTGGATGGACGACAAGCTTGGGCTTGCCAGGGACTGCCTCCTCAGAGCCAGAGACACTGAGGTACTCATACACTTGGACGGCTGAGCTCGAATTTTTAACTTACTGATCCCTGCTCTGCTCTGCTGCGTGTTTTCGATCTAGAGCTGGATACCCAAGTCCAAGGAAGAACCGTTTGCCGGGTCCGCAATGGAGCTGATGAAGCTGGCTAGGTTGACCATCGATGAATTCTCCGAGATCCCAGCGAGCGCGAAAGACGAGGTGGTTCACGATCTCGTCGACGGCCTGGAGTCCATCTTCCAGGACTACATCTCCTTTGTGGCGTCTTGCGGTAAGCTTCAGGTTGTTCTGTGCATCGAGTGCCAGAGAAGTTTGTTTTTATAGCTAGTGATGTGGTACGACAGGTTCAAAACAGAACTACCTTCCTCCGTTGCCGCCGCTGACGAGGTGCAACCAAGACTCGGGCTTCTTCCGGCTCTGGAAGAAGGCTGCGCTGCCGACGTGCCAGGCGCCGGAGGGCAGCCCGCGCGGCGGCGGGTCGCACCACATCCCGCGGCCGTCCATCAGCCGGGGCACGCAGCGGCTCTACGTCCGCCTCAACACGCTCCACTACGTGCTCACCCACGTCGAGGCCCTCGACACCTCGCTGTCGTGCTCCTCGCCCTCCCACCTGGGCCGCGCGCGCGCCGCGGCGCAGTCGTCGATCTCGACGGTCGCCGAGGTCGCCGCGCACCGGCTCATCTTCCTGGACTCCCGCCACTCCTTCTACCAGGGCCTGTACGCCCGCAGCGTGGCCGACGCCCGCATCCGCCCCGCGCTCCGGCTGCTGAAGCAGAACCTGTCGTTCCTGGTGTCCGTGCTGGCGGACCGCGCGCAGCCCGTGGCGGTGCGGGAGGTGATGCGGGCCTCCTTCGAGGCCTTCCTCATGGTGCTCCTGGCCGGCGGCAACGAGCGGAGCTTCGCGCGCGCCGACCAGACCACGGTGGAGGAGGACTTCCGGAGCCTGAAGCGCGCCTTCTCCACGTGCGGGGAAGGGCTGGTCCCCGAGGACGTGGTGGCGAGGGAGGCGGAGACGGCCGAGGCCGTCGTGGACCTCATGGCGCGCTCCACGGACTACCTCATCGACGCCTTCAGCGTCGCGACGTGCGACTCCATCGGTGACGGCGGCGGCGAAGACGACGGCGGCGGAGGAGGCGGGTGCACGCCGCTGCCGCCCACGACGCGTAGGTGGGACCCCGCCGACCCGAACACGATCCTCCGGGTGCTGTGCCACCGCGACGACGAGGCCGCCAACCAGTTCTTGAAGCGCACGTTCCAGCTCGCCAGGCGGCGGTGAGGCCACACGGCCATGTATAGCTTGGAGGAGCACGAAAGATGCTTACGCGTCCCGCGCCGCGATTGACTTGAAGTGATGATGGAGAGCACTAGAGGGTGTGACGGTGTGTGGTGTTGTCGCATTTTCTTGCTGAAAATCGCATAAAACCATGTTTTTACAGCTAAGAGCAGCTATAGCCGGAGATAGCTACAGCTAAACCATTTAGCTGTTTTTGTCAAAAGAAAAAAACAATGAAACTTGGCAT